GGCTCCACTCTCAGCAGGGAGTCTGCTTGAGATTCTCTCTCTCCCCCTCTGTCCCCACCCCACGTGCACACATGCATTCTCTCTCTCTCTCTCAAAATAAATAAAATCTTTAGAAAATAAAATGAAATAAACCTGGAAATAGGAACTTCAAAATTAATATTGTAATTCAGATATAGCACCAAGGAAAGTTTTTTTTTTTAATTTTATTTATTTATTTGACAGAGAGAGACACAGCGAGAGAGGGAACACAAGCAGGGGGAGTGGGAGAGGGAGAAGCAGGCTTCCCGCCGAGCAGGGAGCCTGGTGAGGGGCTCGATCCCAGGACCCTGGGATCATGAACTGAGCCGAAGGCAGAGGCTTAACGACTGAGCCACCCAGGTGCCCCAACACCAAGGAAAGTTATATGAGAACATGGAAATGTCATGACTTTTGTCATAGTATTTTTAGCTTAACGGATTTTAATTGTCAAAGTTAAGACTGTCATATTTCAATGATTATTATTGTCAAAGATGTATGACTGCACCTCAACAAATTATTCAAACAAGAACTTCCTCATTAAAGAAAAAAAAGAACTTCCTCATTAAAAAATAATTAAAAAAAATCTTTTGTCAATGATGTTGTAAGCATGCCTCCTGAGGAAATACCAGAGAATTAATACCCAAAACTTCCCTTCAAGACCTTCACAGCTATTTGAAGCCACTTACCTCCTAGGGTTCCCTAATCTTACCTCCCTGGCATCAAAGAACTACAAAAAAAAACAAAACAAAACAAAAAAAAACCCCAAAAACCCCCCCCACACACAAAAAAAGATCATCTAAGAAGCTACAAAATCTTTGCTTAATACAAAAGCGATGCACATTTACGAGAAGATAGATGTTAGCTGAACCTACTGTGCTGATCATTTCACAGTATATGTAAGTGGAACCATCATGTTGTATGCCTTAAACTTATACAGTGACATATGCCAATTATTTCTCAGTGAAATGGGGGAAAAGGGAAAAAAGAAAATGTTTTAAAAGGGCTTAGCATCAGTTGGTATATAGTGAATAGTAAATAAGTGATAACAAAATAAATTAGATGTAATATGCTGGTGAGCTCCATGAGGGCAAGAATTATGTCTCCTCCACCTATAAAATCACCAACTTCTAGCCCATATACATTCTCAATAAACAGATGTTACTTATAGAATGTGGAAAAAAAGAAGCTATGCACAGAAAGTTTTCTGCTCTAAAATTTTCTTTCCCCTTGAAAATGTCTTCTTCGCCTCGAAAGAAATCTCTATTCTGGTTTGTAAGCCATTTAAAGACTTCTTTATTGATACCATTGTATGGAATCCTATTTTTCCTTTTTACGATTTATTTTGAACTATTTTAATAATAGATGGCATCTACTGTGTGTGCCAGCACTATGCCGAGGGCTCAGCATGTAGCATTTCGTGAATTCTCATGACTCTATAAGATCTATAGACCACTGCCCGCATTTTACAGATGAGGAAACTAAAGCATAAAGGGGTTAAGTAATCTGCTGCAGGTCAAACACCTGATCGATGATGAAACAAGGATTTTAACCCCACAGAGTCTGGTTCCGGAGCCTGAGCGCTTACCTACCATGCCATTTTACCATTCGAGCTTGACTCAATATCCAGTCAGATTACACCACATTTGCTTCTCCTTTGTGAGGAGGTTATTCAGCTTGAGGATATGCATTTCTTTGCTGTTTTTCTCTCCTAATGCATTTACACTGGTTGTTCTAACCAGCAGAGAAAACCAGTCTTGCCACTTGTGATGAGCTTTAGCAGTGAAGCATATGCATTGAAGAGCTGGTTATCATGGTTTAAAAAAAAAAAAAAAAAGGTCTTAACTCAATGACTGATTATTTAGGTGCTTCTGAGGGCTAACTGTAAGAAAAAAATGACTCGGTGTCATAAACTCCACTCTTTTCCTGCAATCATATTTGATTTGGTTGTATCATCACTGTTTGCATAGTCCCTAGTGTAAATACACTGGAAAAGCCCATTACGATTATTTCTAACATTGGCTGCTAAGATAAAACAATCTTTAATTCCCTTAATTATCTCCTAAACTTCCTTTTTGCTTATTTGTTCTAAAATTGCTAACTGATCTTAACAGGTCTGTTTTTATAGCTTCTTGCTCTTGTCAGGTGCATGGGGCCATGCTCTATTGCTTATTACTCTAGATGTAGATGTTATGTTACAGTGCTTCTTAACTACCCCGACCTTGCTTGGCCTTTGTACTTCAAGAGGTGCATGAGAAGCAGAACTAGAACAGCAAGTCATCCATGATTTTGTGATTTGTGTGCTTTCTGGACTATTCTAACTCTTTGGGTACAAGCCTCACAGCACACAAGCCTAAAGTCCTGGCCTTAATCAGAGAAGTGGGTATTATTTCCAAGGAGAGCTGACTGAATGAGGTTTGGGAACTGTTCTCCGATCCCCGTGCTTCTTTGCTGAGAGCTCTCAGGGCCTGGAGAAAGAGCTCAT